CTGAGTATTTATGTGAAAACCCTGTAGAGGATGAAAATAAAGATAATTCTACAAATGAAATCCTCCTCCAAGGAGCAGAAGAAAGAATGTATTACCAATGTGAAAGCGAAGGTGAATCTCAACAAGCAGATGGCGGTGGCCTGGCCGCTGCCCCACCAATTTGCAGGGACTCATTACAGCTGTCTATCAAGCAGAGGCTGGCACGGCTACAGCTGTCACCAGATTTTACCTTCACTGCTGGCCTCGCCGCAGAAGTGGCTGCTAGATCCCTCTCCTTTACCACCATGCAGGAACAGACTTATGGCGATGAGGAGGAAAAACAAATAAATGAAGAAGAGAAAAATGACATGGAAGAAAATTAAGAACCAAGATTGACATGAAGTGATTTCAGATTCCTTTTATGAAAGTGTTTAGCTCCAAGACTGGAAAGGGAGAATGAGTATAAGTTTACTAAATATAAAGCTAAGATGTGAATTTACAGGAAGAACCCTGGTTTCAATAACTGATCTGAAATTAAGTAGTTACCTGTAAATGGCAGATCTGTTAGGAAAATAAGAGAAAGGTAAGGGCTCTCTTGAATAAACTGTTTTATTTGTGGCACAATTGATCAATCTTGGGAATTCTTTAAGTATTTTTAATAAGAAATGAATCATCATTTCTTGCCAGAATTTGCTACCATAAGATAATTGGGATAATTCTGTTATAAGAACATTAACATTTATTATGAGTCCTTTTTACTGTATTCTTGCAGTTAATAACTGCAGTTATTATGTTAATAACAAGTTGTTTGTATTTTATTTTTGTTTATACCAGTCTTCAAACAAAGATACAGGTTCTGAATAAAAAAAAATTAATTCATACAACTGATGTGTCCTGGGGTTTGGAACTAAAAAGTAGTTTCAAAAGTATTTGGGTTGTGACTTTTTTTTTCATTTCAATAACGTTTATTTAAGCCAATTTATCCATAATCTTGTCATTTCAACATGTAATCAGTATTTTAAAATTAATGAGACATTTTACATTCTTTTTCATACTAAGCCTTCAAAATCTGGTGTGTATTTTGTACTGACAGCTTATCATAATTCAGACTAATCATATTTCAAGTAATGAAAGAGTCACATGTAGCACAATATTGGACAGCACAGGTCTAGTGGAAAGAACAAATAATAAACAAGATAAATAAGTAAAACAGGCCAGATATTTGAGGGTGGTCAGTGCTATGGAGGAAAATAAAGCAGGGAAGGGAATAGGGAGTATTGGGTAAGAGCCCCTTTGACTTCTGGGCCACTCCTATGTCTGGGAATTTCACTCAGGCCAAGATCTTGTAATTCCCTGGGAAGCAGGGAAGTAGTCTGCAGCAGTGCTGAATCTTACAGTGGGTGAGAACTGACAGGCAGCGTCATGCCCCCCCTCTGCTGGGGAAGTGACATATTTCTTATGTTTCCTTGATGATGTGTGTATTTTAGTAGTTAATTTTAAGATATCTTAATGACTTTTAAAAGAAGAGCATTGTACCATTTTAAGAATTACACTTTCAATGTTTTTGTTTATTACTTCTTCCATTCCTGTTGTAACTAAAAGAGATGATATCAAAATGGAATCCCTATAGTCCAAGGCTGGGCCCCCAATTTAGCATAGAGTTCTTTGTATCAGTTTGCCTAGAGATGATTGGGTGCCACTAACACACAGGTGACAATGCTGCGGTTTTCCAGCCCTGTCCACCTTAATGAGATTTGGGAAACATCGTGTCAGCTTCTTGGGACATTTACAGACCTCCTCTTAAAAGAGACTGTTTTACACATTGGCCAATCTCATCTGTTTTGGTTGTGATCGCATTTTTCAAAGAGTGATATTTTCAAAAGCATACTGTTATTGAAACCTGTAACTCCTATGCACTGACATAGGGACTATACCTCAGCTCTTTGGGGCAGTACCTTAGAGTAGGCCTAACTTTACCACTTACAAACAACTAAGTTTCAAGAAAAAAATATTTTCTTGTACTATACTTGACTATTATATTCTTAAATAATATTTACAGTTTACTTCCTTATTTAAATTACTTAGTTTACTGACTTCATTTTTCCTTAGATTAATTTTTAATTCTTTTATTGTATTTTATTTTTATTACACCGTTTTGGGGAAAATGTCTTCATAATATTGGATCAGTTTTATTCAGTGTTCTCTAAGGTGATACTTTTTAATTTTGAAAGTTTAAATAATTTTAATTACAAATGTCTAGTCTTTTAGGCTGTTCTGTTTTATTCACTAGTTGTTACTTAATTCCATGAAAACTCATTGAAATTATAATATTTAATATAACAATCTTGGGATTTTAACTGAATATTCTACTTATATGTAGTTTTCATCTTTTAAAATACAGTATTTCCAATGTAAAGTATTATCTCCTGCGAAAATTTCTTAACTACTTTTCTCTTATTCTAAATCAGTGTTTCTTAGTTGTTCTAGTGTGGTACTTGTATCAGAATAAACTGGAATTTTTATTTTTTAATGCAGATTTTAAGCCACAGTCCCAGTCATTCTTACTTGGTCATTTTGGAATGAGATCTAGGTAATGTTTATGACCAATAAAATCTAAGAATCTCTGTCTAGGACTTTGTTCTTGCAATGAACACCTTAGGAAATATAAAGACAGGCCAGTGCAATACAAGTAGGTATTATTTTTTTTATTCCTTTTCTAAGAATATTTTCCTTTTTTAAAATCAGATTTTGACTTTTGTTTTCCTTTTAAAACTGTTTGTTATTATTCAACATAAGTGCTCCTTTCAAAAAATGTATTGATCTAATTTGCGGAGGGTAAAATGTATTGCCTAGTTTTAATAGCTGCCATCCTATATCCAGAAGCAGCCCTCTGCAAAAAACATTTCATGGGGAAAACTTAGAATTGTGCTTTCCAAATTTTATAATATTATTTTGACAGCATAATTCTTTTTAGGAGTAGCATCCCGATAGCTTTTAATACAAAGATTTCCCTAGTTTGTTCTACTAGGACAAACCTACTAGTTAATGGAAGAAAGCATTTGAGAATCTATTTGGGTCACTCTGAAAGACAGGATTTTTACCCTTTGTCTACTTACAGTAGGCAAGTTAGTTTGAACCTCAGTTTTCTTAAAAAAAATAAATAGTAGGGCAGTGCCTGTGGCTCAATGAGTAGGGCTCCAGCCCCATATACCAAAGGTGGTGGGTTTGAACCCAGCCCCTGGCAAAATGCAACAAAAAAGTATCTGGGCGTTGTGGCAGGTGCCTGTAGTCCCAGCTACTCGGGAGACTGAGGCAGGAAAATTGCCTAAGCCCAAGAGCTGGAGATTGCTGTGAGCTGTGATGTCACAGCACTCTACCAAGGGCAACAAAGTGAGACTCTGTCTCTTAAATAAACAAATAAATAAATAATAGTAGTATTTGGATTTAAATAATAAAAGTTATAAAGCTTTTAATGTTAAAGCAATAAAAAAGAATCAACTTCTGATACAATCTACACAATTGTAAGTCATTGGAGTGTTAGAAGAGACCCTACCAATCATTTCATTCTGGTGATTCTGACTCTTCCCATCAGTAATGTAAAACATGAAATATTTTAACAGATCATTAGGAATCACATGGGAATAAAAGTGATTCAGTTTAATCATAGTATACAGTATTTCTATACCCAAACAAAACAGGGAAACAAGAACTAAATATCCTGAATTCCTAAATATCCTGATTTAGTTTAATCATAGTATACAGTATTTCTATACCCAAACAAAACAGGGAAACACGAACTAAATATCCTAAGACTTAGGTATAGGTCAGCTAAGTCATTCTTTGAACTAAAGTAGATATTATACTATGAATGACAGCCAGACAAAGCATAAAGATTTATTCTTTCAATTCTCTTTCTAAGAATGTATCTATGAAAATCACACTTTACATTAGTAAATGAAGCTTCATTTTAGAAGAGAAAATGCAGGAAAAATTGCTGAAGTACAATAACAATTTATTTATCTGTCATCATTGACAGGTGATTAACTTGCTTTAATTTTTCAGCTAGGCAAATCCTTTAATTATGAAATTTAACATTTTGCTAAACTAAGTATACTTTCTACTTCACTTTTTCCAGAGTATGTATAATTTAACTTTTTCTCTATCATCTGTAAGAATACCAGTTCCTCTCATAATGTGCTAAACAGAAATTCTCCCCCAGGCCTACTGATCACATGCCCTTTTACTACATGAGCTCACATTGCTATGCTTTTTGAGTTATGTCTGTTTTTCACAGTTTCTTTATCTTCCCTTATAATCAGCTGTCACTTTTGCTGCTGTCTTGTGTGCCTGCCTCCTGCAATAGGCCCCTAATTTGCTGCTTCTAATCTGCCGTGGACTGAGAAGCCAGATCGCCACGCTTGCTAAAATTGTGTCTAAAATAAGAGTAAGTAGACTGAAAGAAGGCTGAGGGGCTTTCCTGTCAGTAAAGTGCATGGACTTCATGGTGACTGTTCGTCTGCTTAGCATTCTTTGGTTTGCCCCTTACCTAAGAACTTGCTAAAAATACTTGGTAGAATATGTGATTGCCATATATTTAAAGTATTAATTCACTTTTTATATATTGATGTTTCTAGGACTCTCCATTAATGAATTCAGCTGTAAAAGAAAATTTTACTATCATCTTTGTATAAATCATTGTGCATATTTCAGGAAAATGTCAAATATTTTGTTCTCATTAATTGTTCTTAGTATAGGACACAGATTTAAAACTTACAGCATTATAAATATAACTTCAGTTCTATTCACTGAGACTTAGGTTCTAGAACTGTTTGCATCTGAATATGGAATTTACTAACTGGCTAACTTGAACATCTAGAGAATGAGTCATTCTAGATATCCCAGTTTCCTATAGAGACTGAACCTCTTTTAGCATTAAAATTTTTTGAAATAATTTCTAAAAGGAAATCTTTATAAAATGTATATGCATTGCTTTCTTCTATATGAAATGCATTTGTTTGATATCAAAATAGTCATGAGTTGTTATACTCTACTAGACTAATTAGGTGCTGAGAGGTCTTTGTCCCGGTACTAAATGGCTCCATTCTGCTGTGCTTGTTTTAGCTTTCACAGCTTTGTTTTTAAATCATCATTCTGATTCCTCCATTTATTTCACTTTTTGCTCTAGTGTGCCTGTGATAGTAGCCTTTCTCCACCTTCATAATGAATGTGCCTTCTGATCTGCTGTTGCTTTGGAAACCAGATGACTAAGCTAGTTAGAATTATGTATAAAGTAAAAGGGAATAGACCCAGAATAAAAACCAGAAAAAGCAGATTATGCTTAAGTGAATGGATTTTGTGGCAGTTATTTCTCATTACTTGTTTCACTGCTGTCTTTAACATGTGAACGTACAGGATTCTATGCGTGCTCCCAAAATAAAAGGAACCATTTCATTTTCATACTTTACTAGCTCTAAAGTTAGTTCTATACTATCACTCTTTGGCGCTGATTAAGACTGGTCCACTCAAGTTAACTTTTTCTACAGTATTTTCTATTTGAATTGGATACCACATGCTATTAAGAATTTCTTTGGCTTTTGGTTTTGTTGTTTAGAGAGTAATACATCTTCATTTCCAAGACATGAAAAGATTAAGCCCTGAAAAATAAGAAACCATTCATTATTGATATCATAGAAGCATGAGAAACAAATAATGTTTATAGACTCTAGGCATTTGTACCATAAAAGATTTATTGTTTTTGGTTATGCTACTTTTTTTAACACATTATCTTTATTTTCATTCAACTAAAGGAAATATATGCTAAAAGCTTACCAATAATTATCAATGTTAGATATAATGATATTGACAGATATTTGAATGACTAAATTCCGATTGTCACTCTATATTTGGCATGTTTAAATTATCATTTAATATGTTAAATATTCAACTAGGATGACTTTTCTATCTTGAATGAAAAGTAAACCTGAAATTTGCATGTTATAATATTTGCAAGGAAAATTCAAAGCTCTCTAAAAGTGGATATGCTAGCATCAAACACCTTATTTTTACAAACATGCTGATTATGTTTAGTAACCATATATTGACTCATGCTTCTGTCTCATACAGAATAATTGGAAAATCAGTCTGTTCATGTTACAACCATGTCTCATAGTCAGCTTTCAGTCATCCATGCTAATGGAAGGCAGGTATGATATAATAATTTTAAAAAATAAATTATCCAAACCATTTGTTGAGTTGAGACTGCCATTACAGAATAGAGAGTCACAATGCCAAACGCAGGATGGTGATAGGAGAAAGCTTCTCTTTGAGTATAGTTGTGAGAAGAAAGTGATTCTACTCATTTTGATTGCTATAAATCAAAGAGAGGATGAATTGATTTGAGCTTCACACAGCAAAAGTTCAGCATGAATAAGGAGGAATTGATATTGTGGATATCCTAAAATGTGTGATAAGTGAAAATGCATGTGGTATTTTAAAATGCTATTCATTTTAATATATTTTAGGTTGCCAAGCATGAAATCAGTTTTATTCGTATGTGTTATTTCATTTAGCAACATGTTACTGCAATAGAATAGTATTTAAGCTGTATATACTTTTAACTTCACTGTCTTTAAAAATGGGTGTACTTTGTGAGATATGGTTATAGAAATATTATTTCTTGGGACAGGAACAGTGGCTCATGCCTGTAATCCTATCACTCTAGGAGGCCAAGCTGGGTGGATTGCTTGAGCTAACAGGTTTAAGAACAGCCTGAACAAGAGCGAGACCCCCCATCTCTAAAAAAGTAGCCAGGCCCTGTGGTGGGTGCCTGTAGTCCCAGCTATTCGGGAGGCTGAGGCAAGAGAATCCCTTGAGCCCAGGAGTTTGAGGTTGCTTTGAGCTATGACGCCACCGCACTCTATCGGGGGCAACAAAGTGAGACTCTGTCTCAAAAAGAAAAAAAAAAGAAATAATATTTCTTCTCATTTATGTCTGAAGGGTTTTTAAAGTAAGGGAAAATTTTACTATTTTAGGCTTTATGTTTTTCACTTTTATAACATTTCCTAAAGCTTGGCTACCACCAAATAAGTTTATTATTTTTTCTAAAATTAAATCATGTCTTTTTACAAGTGTATTCTTTTATAATATGCAAAACAATTATATATCCTTTCCTCCTTCCCAAGTAAATTCTTAAGAAAATTAACTTGATTTCTAAATCTAAATATTTTCTGCACTTTTATTACACCAATCTGTACCTTCTGTTCATACTATAACTTAAATAGTACTTACTCAGGCGCAGTATTAGCATCTGACAGTATACAGAAGGTTCCAGAAATGTTAATCCCATCCATTTAAAGGTTGGCGTATGGTCCTGGTACAGACCTGGAGGTTCATGTGGGTGAAAAGCCCAGAAGTCTACCTGAGCTGAAAGGACTCCCAAGGAGTTTGGTTTTGTTTGGGTTTGTTCTAGGTATGGTCCCAGGGATCCCAGATCAAACCAGGCCCCTGGGCCTATCCTAGAACCAACCTAAACTCGCGCATCATTCCTGGAACATCAAGAATGTGAAGACTGAAGATAACCTGAGGCTGATGTTCACCAAGATTCACATTTATTTTTGTATGTGTGCCTACATTTTAGAAAGAATTAGTTGATTAATCCTTTTAAAATTAGGGGGATGACATTTGGTAAAAAGTCTTCTCAGACAGACTGATATTATAGTAATTTCTCACAGTAGAAATTCTGATTATTATTAATTGCCAGTGAGAAGAAATACTCTTGTGACTTTTGTTATCAGAGCTCTATTTTTAGCCAAAACAATTTAGCCACAAAAAATCAACCCCTCCCGCAAGAAAAATCTTCCCCTCAAATTAATGATTTCTGTTTTCTTAAACACTCTCTACAATATTATATCAGTCTCATTTAATTGAATAATTGTTCATAGTTTGTGAAAGGCCATTGCTTCTGGCTCTAAAGCTAAGTGATTTTGAACTCTTGTTTCTGGAGATTAGGCCTTTTTCCTTTAATCTGTTGTTGAATCTGCCACATTTTAGAGCTCACTTTTAGAAGTTCTACTATGGATAATGAAAACAAGCAAGGATGATGTAGTAGAAATGGGTTAATGCCTCATTTTACATCAGTATTTTGCAGAAGGAAATTTGCAATAGGCTTTTCAATTTGTGTTCCTGGCTGCTCTGGATTTTTTAAATATTCTGACCTAGTTGATTTATCACATGGTCTCTTATCATAACTGTGGCATTGCTATAGTCCCTTACATGTTTTTCTGTTTAATTTAGAAGACAAGATTTCTGAAAAAGCATGCAAGGATCCCAAATCCAAAAGTTACAGTGCATAATGAAAATGTACACTTTTCATCATCCTGGCTTCTGCAGTTAGTTCAAACCATGTTTGAAATAATTGCAGACTCATCAGAAACTCCACATGTGAAAGGAGCTTGAAATTGTGCTGGTCCTCTAAGCCTTATCTCGCCAGCAAGAGTGGGTCAGTAGAGTCATCCTTTAAAACAGAACTGTGAGCCTCTTGAGTTTCACTCTGAAAAGCTCAGCTATGAAGTTAGTTCTATACTACGTTCATCACAAATGTGTAGATGCTTCATCACATAATTCAGTTGTTTTTGCCTTTTAATCTTATGGTTCTGTTTCTTTCTCATTGTTTTCCTTTCCACACAATGTTTTCCTGGGAATATAACATATTTCTCAAAGTGTCCTGAAATGACATATTTTGGGGGCCTTTGCACTCTCTCTCTCTCTCTCTTTTTGGCACAGAATCACTGTATCACCCAGGCTGGATAGAGTACCATGGTCTCAGCCTTGCTCACAGCAATTTCAAGCTTCTGGGCTCAAGAGATCCTCTTGCCTCAGCTTCCCAAGTAGCTGGGACTATAGGAATACACCACCATGCCTGGCTAGTTTTTCTATTTTTAGTAGAGACGAGAGTCTCACTCTTGCTCAGGCTAGTCTCAAACTCCTGAGCTCAAGGGATCCTCCAGCCTCGGCCTCCCAGAGTGTTAGGATTATAGGCGTGAACCATGGTGCCCGTCCTGCACTCTTTTAACACTGTTAATTATGAACATAGAAAATAGGAATTAGTGAACTATTTAAAGAGTTAAGGCTTATGTACCAAAAGTTTTTTTTAAGTATTCTTGAATTTGGATACTTACTGGAGTTTTAACTTGTATGTATTTTAATATCGTTTCAAATATTTTTCAGAGGTATTTTCATTTTTACTCTTTGATCACTTGTGTTTTATCTATTAGAACTATTATTTCCTACCCTACCTGAAGACTTGAGATTATAACCTTTTTTAGGCAAGGGCAGGGGATTCATTTTGTATGTTTTTTAAATTATAACTTAAAAATAAAAATACAAAGTTTACCATCTTAACCATTCTTTTTTTATTTGGCCAGGGCTGTGTTTGAACCCGACACCTCCAGTACATGGGGCCAGCACTCTACTCCTTTGAGCCACAGGCGCTGCCCCCATCTTAACCATTCTTTTTTTTTTTTTTTTAATTTTTTATTTTATTTATTTATTTATTTTTTCCTGTAGTTTCTGGCCAGATTGTGTTTGAACCTGCCACCTGCGGTATATGGGGCCAGCACCCTACTCCTTTGAGCCACAGGTGCTGCCCATCTTAACCATTCTTAAGTGTACAGTTCTTCTTCTCCATAACTTTTTCATCTTGCAAATCTGAGACTCGGTACCTATTAAACAATCCCCATTTTCTCCTTCCTCACAGCCCCTAGCAACCATCTTTTTTCCTACTTTCTGTTTCAGTGAAATAGAAATTATTCCATGATTCCACCTCATACAAGTGGAATCCTACTAGCTTTGTCCTGTAACTTATTTCACTTAACATAATGTCCTCAGGGTTCATTCATACTAGAGCATGTGACAGGATTTCCTCTTTTTAAAAGCGAAATAATATTTCATTGTTATATTTACCACAGTTTTTTTAATCCATTCATCTGTTGGTGGACATTTGGGTTGCATCCACCTTTTGGTTATTGTGAATAATGCTGCTATGAATATGAGTGTGCAAATATCTATAACTATATTTGATGCAGTACTTTCTATAATCACTTTTTGTATTTTATCACATTGAATTTTTGTCAACCATTTTAAAGGATTTTACAGGAACCCAATTGTAGTTTTACATATGTCTGTATTATTGTTCCTTGTAAGATTACAAAATCCTTAATAAAGTCTGTACTTACTTATATCTTTTTTGTCTGTACCTTTTTTATTATGATGTTTACAACATGAGTTAATAAATAGCCAAAAAATTCTCTTTCATCTCTTTTTTAAAAATGTATTAATACAACAAAAAAAGGACATATTTCAGGGAAAGTCTTTGATTCACTAGTCCAAGTTTTATTTATTCATGTAAGTGCCTCAAATGATAATTTATCAGAGCAAAAACAGCTTAAGTTTAAAAGTTCTGTTTTTGCCATTCCCAGAGACTGTCAGCCATTGGATACATTCTAAGCATGTTTTTTTTTTTACTTTTATGTCCTCTCTGACAGAAAAAAATACTAACACAAAGAAGGACGTTAACATCCAATGGATCATACATTTATTTATTTATTTGTTTTGAGACAGAATCTCAATCTGTCACCCTGGATAGAGTGCCATGGCATCATAGCTCATAGCAACCTCCAACTTTGGGCTCAAGCCATCCTCTTGCCTCAGTTTTTCTATTTTTAGTAGAGATTGGGTCCTGCTTTTGCTTAGGCTGGTTGCAAACCCATGAACTCAAGCAACCCACCTCCTTGGCCTCCCAGGGTGCTGGGATTATAGACATGAGCCACCACACCTGGCCAATGGATCATACTTTAATGAGTTGGTTGAATTGAGTTCTTGGTTTGAACATTTCTATACTTTCACTTTGGGGAATACTCATGGGAACTCCCAAATGGCTCTGTAGACTAAATGCTGGTTAAAGAAAAAGTGACCTTCCTTGAACTGAACTTTTAAATAAGCCATCTCTTTCCAGAAAAGATTTGAGACAGGAATAAACATCCATACAAGCAATTTTTGAAAGTTGGCCCTTGTCTGGGATTTCTAATTAAAAGTATGAGACAGGTTCAGCGTCTCTGAAGTGGCTAAAGCGCCAGCCACATACACCTAAGGTGGCAGATTCGAATCCAGCCGAGGCCCGCCAAATAACAATGACAGCTACAACCAAAAAATAGCCAGGTGTTGTAGTGGGTCCCAGCTACTTGGGAGGCTGAGGCAGGAGGCTCACTTGAGCCCAGAGTCGGAGGTTGCTGTGAGCTGTGATGCCATGGCACTCTACTAGACTAGGGGGACAGCTTGAGGCTCTGTCTCAAAAAAAAAAGTGTGAGATATGGTAAGGAAGATATGTGTAATTACCAGATTCTGAAGTCATCGGGTAGGAAATATCCCCTTTGGTAATCATTCCTCGTCTTCACAATTTGCTTTTGAAGGTCTTTAGAGGATGTGCTATAGCCATTGAAAACAAAGTTGGCAAATAGTAATCTTCCCCGAATGTACATCTGTAAAAGTGAATAGGACATTTCAGAATCTGGTCATAAAAAAGGTAGTTCTGCTTATTTGAAGGAAAATCTTCAAATGTGTCCTTATGAGAAAGTGTTTGTATGTATACACATAAAATGGTCATCACACATATTCCTAGAACTTGAATATATTGTGTAAGAATAAGAAAACAGGTGCCGTAGTTTCACACTCAATCATGCACACAAAGTGTCAGAACTAGTATCCTAACTAGATAATTAGATCCTAAAAAGTTACCAATATCTGTTCTTAATCATCAGCTCCCTAGTTAGCCAACTCATTTTACAGCTAACCTCTAGGAGATGTACAGATCCCATGAATTTGTCAGTCATGAGACTTGAGTTCTAGATGAAATTACTTCTATAAAACTCAGGAAAATCATTTAACCATACTGAGCCACAATTTCCTCTTTAAAGAAAAAAGCATTATGATTTATGAATTAGACTAGAACTCTAAAAGCCTTCCATTTCTAAAATCCCCACTTTTTATTTTAATTTTTTTAAATCCCCATTCTTAATAAAGATATACAACTCTACTGTGTAAAACCAAGTTTGTCTTTCTGTTCTAAGGTGCAAAAGAGCTTATTTTGAGGTACAATGAACACCTTAGAATATTCAACTTTTTGTTTTTTGCAGTTTTTTGCTCAGGCTGGGTTTGAAGCCACCACCTCTGGCATATGGGGCTGGCACCCTACTCCTTTGAGCCACAAGCGCCACCCTAGAATATTCAACTTTTAGAGATTGGACAGAAGAATACAAAAACATGGCAAAGGACAGAGATAATAGTTTTAAAAAAATTTTTTTTTTTAAGTATAGCTGGTTCCAACACAGAACTTAACACTGCTAACAACAGAGTATACATATCTGGGACCATCTATGTAGCCATTGCTGGCCGAAATGGAGGTTTTTGTGGTTTCTTGATCCAAAATGCTTGGTATTTGTTCTTTAGCACCTATGTCTATCAGCCATGAAGCCATTTATGTAGCTTAAACTTAGAAATTAAGCTATGATACATGGGTAATGATAGCAAGTGACAAGGTTACAATACAAAATATGTATGTGAATATAAGATCTGAAGAACTTACCAGTGACATAGGATGACTTTCAGTCAGTGTTGTCCCTATAAATGAATGTGTTATGGTTTTATAACTGGGAAAAGGTGTAATTTTAAAAAATTGATACACTGAGAAGTTTCATTCTTATTTGGAGGGTGTATTCATACATGCAAAGATTTCCACTCTGTATATATTCAAATTGTTATTTCATAGGCCAAACCTGGGGCCTAGAGTGTTCGGTTCCTGCAAGAATAACTTGGTCATAACACAGGCACATGTTAAACTAGAAAAACACCTTAAGTTTCTATCAAACCAGAGGCCAGGATATGACCAGATCCAGTACCAAAATTCTAAGTTTTTCTTTAATGATGTTGTCTTGAATTTGCATTTTAGTTGAACTTCAAAACCTGGAATAATCTAATCCAGATGCTCTCAGCATTATAACAACCAGGACCCCTGATATTATTTTTACCATGGGCCCCATATTTTGAATGATTTCTATCTACCACAAATTTATATTCTCAAAAAACTGTGATTTATGCATATACATACTTCCACCGCCTCTTTTTAAAAAAATCAACCAAAGCCATAGTGGCCACTCAGAGTTTGTGTACCATAAGCCAAGCACTGTTCTTGGTGCTGAAGATGGAGCAGTGAACAAAGTTTCTGCCCTTATTGAATACTAGAGGAGAGAGCCAGACAATAAATATACATTAGGAGACAGGTGATGGTAAATGCTCTACAGAAAATAAAGTCTTACAGGAGGAATGTGGAGGATGGAGAATACTTTTTTTTTTTTTTTGAGACAGAGCCTCAAGCTATCTCCCCTTGGTAGAGTGCTGTGACATCACAGCTCACAGCAACCTCCAACTCCTGGGCTCAAGCGAGTCTCCTGCCTCAACTTCCCAAGTAGCTGGGACCACAGGCACCCGCCACAACACCCGGCTATTTTTTGGTTGCAGCCGCCATTGTTTTTTGGCGGGCTCGAGCTGGATTCAAACCTGCCACCTTAGGTGTATGTGGCTTGCACCTTAGCCACTTGAGCCACAGGTGCCGAGTCAAGAATACTTTTTTTATATAGGGTGGTCAGACATGAAAGGAGTGAGAGAACCAGTCCAACAAATACCAGAGAGAAGAGTTTTGCAAAAGCAGTATAGTGGCTGGGCAGGTGGCTCAACCTGTGAATCCTAGCACTTTGGAAGGCTGAGGCAGATGAATTGCTTGAGCTCAGGAGTTTGAGATCAGCCTGAGCAATAGTAAGAATCTGTCTCTACTAAAAATAGAATAACTTGGCTCGGCACCTATAGCTCAACCGGCTAATGCACCAGCCACGTACACCTAAGGTGGCGGGTTCGAATCCCCAGCCCGGACCCGCCAAACAACAATGACGGCTGCAACCAAAAAATAGCCGGGCGTTG